TGTCGAGCTGAAATCAAAGGAACTGAACAAATCGTAGTCGATCCATTCGATCCGTCAACGGACAGGAACGCGGCCTACGGTCGCCAACGAAGCGTTGACCATATCTACACTGAGCTGGTATAGTTGGCCAAAACAAACGAATCGTCAAAGTGTTCGAAACAAGCTTTACTCCAATCACTTTCGAAAGTAGAAATACCAACTAAATATGCAAGAAAAAAAAACAATTTGTACACACCTACAGTTTAACGTCCGCTTCATTACATTGATTTCAAGCTTTCAAAATTAAAAAGACATTAAATGTTTATTTTCTAATGGTAACTTTTGTGTGCATAAAACTAAGTTCTATCTGGTTCTTTCGCTAAACTTTTGCCTAGAAAAAGGATAAATAGCTCTCAGGGAATCAGCCATACAAATAAAAATGTTAACAATTAATAAATAAGAAAAATACGTTCACCATAGAATGTGTACAAAATAAGGAAAGTCCAATCTGGAATAACATTCATTTAATGTAATTTCAATAGAATCAAAATATTTCTATTGAAATTACAGCATTAGATGTGTATTGTCTTCATGTTGTAAAAAAATAAAATAAAATTATCGCTTTTTACATGCCAGCGTGTTGTGACTTTTCTTCATTAAAATGTATGACGTTACTTGGAAAAATGCGTACAGGCAAAATCGTACATTATGTACAAATGTCACTGAAACAGAAACCGAATCAAAACATTGCAGCGACGTATGCGAAATACATACGATGAAAAGTAAATAAACTGACGTTTGGTGTTGGCACACACGTTAAATACACACATCCACATCCATAGTCTCTACAGTACAAATGAAAACGATGGGGAAATTGTGGAAGAACTGGAGGAAGCTCGTTCATGTTGACGTCTTAGGAATGTCAAGGAAAACGTGACACTTTCATTATTCAGGTGTAGTAAGAATTGTTTTCACGCAATATGCAAGAAAATTTTCACAATAATTCGACAACATTTTCATACAATAAATTTGAAAAATTCCAAACTGGTTTGAAAGAATGTAAAAAAGAAACTTCTTGAACGTGAAAGAAACATTTTTTATTGGAAATAGAATAGCATAGATTGAAAAAATTGGATCGAACATTTTATAGGCAATAAAATTGTCATTGGTTGGCAGAAATAGTGAAGTAGCTAGTGCAAAAAGGTTTACATCACCAAATGGAGTTATTTTAGTACCCAATCAATTCTAATAATATGAAAAATGATTATTGCAACACGAATGGAGTCTTTATTTCTCAATAAAACGTGCATTTGAAAGCCAATTTAAGGTCGTTCAGCTTAGAAGTTTAGTTGTTATCTGTCTGTTTGACGTAAACGAAGGGGAATGTGAAGGGGAAGTAGTACAAATAGTACATATCACGGAAACTCACGCTTTTGATGGTGGAATCCTTTTCCCTGGATTAAAACAAGTAATTTTTTTATATTTGTAATTTATTTTTTTCCTGCAATGATTGAAATTTTGATATTTTATTTAAATATTTCTGAAAATTGTTGTTTTCAGCCTAGTCACAATGCAGCCGGAGATTTTGAAGCTGACTGTCGATTGTTTTGATGAGCTGTTTGACTTTCTATCACTACAAGATTTATGTTCAATTGGTGAAACATGTAAAATGATGCAGAAATTGGTCGGGAAGTATTTTAAGAAAAATTTCTCAGCAACTAAAAAATACACCGACAACAAAGGGGTTGTTATAACTTATGTCGATACTATGAAGAGTCATCGTATTTCAGCGCCTGTACTCAATCCTTTCATTACATCCATAACACATAGAACGGATAAAATCCAACCACTTCGCTATATCGACATGCACAGTGATGAATTTGCTTCTTTGATCGAAATTCAATTCATGTATATCGCACTAAATGCGTCAAAAATCAACTGCTTACAACAAATCCTGCCTAAAATTGAGGTTTTAAAGTTGATGCACTGTTCAGTTGAAGGTGATTTCTACGATATTTTACGGCTCTGCAACAATTTGAAGGAGATTCATGTCGAAGATGAAGGAAACCGCCCAATTTTGAATGAATCCGCGAACCCATGGCTACTTCAACAGTATCCATTGCTGGAAACTCTTCATCTCACCCAATTGAATCCATTCAAAATCAATGAATTGAGTGAATTTTTCGTGAATAACCCAAACGTTCGGACTTTCTCCACATCATCATGGTGTCTTGCGAGGAATGGCAAAGAGTTCATTGAGTCCAATGTGAAATTGATGAATTTAAAGGTGTTTGAAGGATACAATGGCACTCCAATGAACATGCAAATATTGTGTTTGTTGCTGAATAAACTACATGACCTAGGTTTTTACAAACATTTACATTTTAAATTTTCACTTCTAAGTCAAGAACATTGTGATCAAATGGCCTCACTTCATGCACTTGAGTCATTGTATGTTACACTCATGATGGAGCCGTGTGATTTGTCTCGTTTAATGAGTTTGAAACATTTGACTCTTTCGGATGGTATTCACATGGACACCCTGGCCAAGAGTTTGGTGAACTTGAGACGTCTTTCTCTTTATAACGCAAAATATGAAGATATTGTGACATTTATCTCTCTTTCAGTTAAGATAAAAGAGATCGAAGCACATTTCAAGAGAGGTGAATGCATTGATTTGGCCAAATTGAATGAGCAACGAAATAGTTTAAATGATGCCAGTAAAGTGATGCTTTTTGTTCAGGAAGATATTTTCCTTAAATCAAAATGGACCACCAAAAATGGCAATTTGAATTTGGAATTGGTTGGAATGAGACGATTCGAGAGCTAGAGTGATTTTATTTGGTAGAAATTTGGCAACTGAATTTTCATTTTTATAACAAATCCTTTGATGACCATTTCTCTCTCTTGGCCAATATTTTCTTCAAAAACTATATAACGATTCCAATGTCAAAAACGTTCTCCACAATTACTCATTGGCCAATGGCCATGAAGAAATAAAATAATTATGTAGTTTGGTATTAGAAATGCGTTTGTGTGATACAGTGAATCAACTCCACAATTTGCAATTTTTTTTCTCTGCGATTTACTAAATTTTCATTTTATTAGAGAGTTTATGTCAATAACATCGAATGTAGTTAATATATTACCAAAAAAATAAAGTGTTTCAATGTTGAAAATGTTTCTTTTATTTCGAAAAAGATGGAAAATAAAATTATCTTCATTTCAATTAGAATAATTTTTGAAAATAATATTCGAGATTCAAGCTGGCTTCAAGCTCAATTCGACATTAGACTGCAAAGGACGCCTAATATATCGACCATTCCACGCCAAATCAGGTAAGAATTGGATAGACTATCTCCGAATTGACCGAAAATTTGCATGGAGTCTTGTTTTTGATAGGAAAAAAAAGAGAACCAAAATCTTAGGGCTGCAAGTGGTACACATTTTCAAGTATCCGTAGTCTTATTTGTACAAAAATCTCAAAGAATCGAGTTGATGAGTTTATGGTAACTGAAATTTAGCTGAGAAGTATTTGACACATTACCAAGCCACTGATACCCTTTAAAAGGGACTTTATGGAGGTACAAAAACTGCGCTATCAATTATACTAAGGTAGATCTGTGCTAGCTATCAAAATTTAACATCATGAATGCGTTGAAATACCGCATCAGACGCATGTGTCAGCGAAAATACTCTCCCAAATTTTATGTAAATGTTTACCTTTAATATAAATTCACATCTTATCTTCTATGGCATTGGAAAAGAATCATAGCTTTTACAATTTACATGCACGGGTTACCTACTATTCTTGACAAATTTGTAATGTTTTGGTCTTTATTCCGTGTCCAATTGTCTACCCTTAAACACGAATGTTTCTTGTTGATTAGCACAAAGGTTTCGTGACTGTCGGCGATTAGAACATCGGATTGATAAGCAACAAAGCAACAGGAGCATGTTTTTACATCTATGCAATATATGACATATGTAAACAATTACATTTCATTTGAAACTTTATACCTTTCCTGCCTTGATATTAGCTTTAAAATCATTTGAACGTCAAAGCCGTTGCATCTCGTTGGTTTTTTCTACTTAGTAAAAATGCGAACAGTTTCGATTAATATGAATGGAATATTAGATGAACCAAAATTGGCAGTTTGGATGAAACAAGTGGCTTTTAATTTTTTTTAAAAGTGAGTTTTTTCGACATTCTTTTAAAATTCCACTTTTTTCCGTCAACTTTGCACTGAAAATCACAAAATTGAAGGTGAATTTCGGAAAAACTAGTGTACAATTGAGAAAACTGAGTATGCAGATCTTATTTTTTCCATTTAAATAACATATTTTGACAATATTTTGAAAATCGGTGACAAAAAATAATTGTGAGTGGATTCGAGTCCACGAACACTTGAATATCCATTTCGTTGTCATTTTGGTCATACATCGGCATTTTGGCATCTGGATGTATGAAACTCACACAAATACAAATGCAAATACTTTAGGTACGTTACGCTGCCCCCCCCCAAATTTAATGCTGGGGTGTGACCGGTACCGTTACTTAGTGCTCAATTAGTGCTGGTGAATGGTACCATCGGTTAATTTTATGCTGCGATAGGGAGCTAGCACTAATTGAAAAATCGATTTTTGGCCCTTTTACAGGGGAGCTACCCGAAAATGAAACTTTTTTGTATCGTGACCGCAGTGCATTTTTTCACTCCTCTGGCGCCCTTGTGCTAATTTTATATGTGCGCCCCTAGAAATGATCTATTATTTCAATTTTTGAGCCTGCGGCGCCCCATGGGCGCCACTGTTCATTACACAACTTCGTGTCAGGATAGAAAAGTCTCTGCGCGAGAGCACCGAAAGTACTTGGGCGCTCATGTAGAAAAGAAAATGTTTCAGCAAAATTTCATAATCAAAGCGAGCAGAAAAGGCGCTCCAGCGCTCTATGCAAGCAATTAAAATGGGGCGCAAGTGTCCGAAGAGTAACAATTTGGAAGCTCGCAAATAGGTTTGGGTTTTATCTCCCGAATTGTGGCGCTATTTATTTCATCAAAATAATAGGGGCCCCGGAACAACCTAGCACCCGCTAACCTACCTTTTTCTTATCAAATCGGTATTGAATAGTGATTCTGATAGCGAATGTGATAGCGCCTCTGAAGTCTCATTTATTCTCAACAATGTGAATTTTCCCGAGTTGGAAGAGGATGGATTTTACTACGAAATCGAAGACTTGTGTGAAACTACGAAGAACAAAGATCTAGAATCAATCACAAATCAAATTATTGGAACAGAATTCTTAAATGATTTGTCAATCGATATGTTCATTATAAATTTGGTGAACGCAATTTGGTGATTTGATACAAAAAACGTGACGATTTATGCATAAATTGGGCATATTTTCATACAATTTCGTGATGCAATTAATGGCTCATTGGGAGTATTCAGACGACAATAAAGACAATCAGACGTTTCATTTCATTTGAATACCCAACATCAAGATTTTCGGAATCATAATACAATTTTCCATAAAATACACGAACGTACTGTTGTTTTTTTCTGAAAATTCTTATAAATTTCCTAAGCAAAATCTGAATAAAAGCTGAACGCTATGAAAACGGTGCGGAAAAGTTCGTCTTACGGAGGTAAGACTATTTATTCCGACTTTGGTTTTTGAAAAAGTAGAGTATGTTTGCATGAATGGTTAAAAATATTAAGTTCTTTCGACGAAGAGTATCAGGAGTTCACGAGTGTCAGCACGTAGTCGAGCTCCGCTTACACTGTAGTAACGAAAAAATGAATGATTCTACACATGAATTTCAGATTTTAATAGGGGACGAGTGTAGTTGAACCACATATTTCGT